AAAATTGCCCCTAAACATCTATGTTAGTCAATGTTCTCCAGAAAAATAGATGATGACTCCAGCCTCCGCAAGTTTCAGTCTGGGAAAGCTCAAAGTTGCCAAAAGAATTTATTGTTTGTTCTAACCAATAGCTTATTTTGGTGCTATATTTTACAATTCTTCTCTAATGCTGACTAATCTCCTTTTTCAATCAAAAGAAATCAAACTCTAAATGAATCACATTTTTTATTCATTATGCTGATACTATTAATTTTTAACAGGTCATTACACTGTTTCCATTTATAGTAATTATGCAAAGTTTTCTATTTAAAAAATCTATTTACATATAAAAGGTAAGTTAAGTTAAAGAAAAACATTAAATATATAAGAGAAACAGGAAGAGTGACAAAAATATTCTTTCTGACTGAACTATAGCCAGGTTCCTCCGAGCCCTTTCTTTTTTTTTTTTTGAGATGGAGTTTCGCTCTTGTTACCCAGGCTGGAGTGCAATGGCGCCATCTCGGCCCTCTGAGACCTTTTACTGGCACAGCCTCCACCTTGGCCTATAAAAACTACAAATTCGCAGCACAACTGATTTCATCCACATCCTCCTTACTCCCACCCCTATGCACAGTATCAAAATACTTGAACAAACACCAATATAGTTTCTGACAGCTCAAGTTTGCATTTGTAAGAAGAAATTTGGAGTTATCCTGGGCTTCTCCCTCTCTATCTCTCTACATCAAATTAATCCTATTAATTTTGTCTCCAAAATGCCTACTCATCATTTCTTCATACTCTACATTGATTCACCCAGGACTTTACTTTGTCTCACCTAGATTATTAAAATAAAAAACTCACCTCTCCTTTTCATTCTCATCACCTTATTTGATTTCTTTAAATGGCTATTGTGATACTACTTTAATCATTTTATACACCATTGTTAGAGACAGCTCCCTACAATAGCAAAAAATCAGTGTTATTTCCTTCCTTACAATGGTTTCCGCATAGATTAATGGTGAAATGCTAACTAGTAAGTTCCTGTTCAAAGCCCTTCACAAAGTGATACAAACCCTTTTTTCTATAAATGCTTCCTCCTCTAACCCACACACTTTCTATTTTGTAATAGGCAAATATTTGTAAAGATCCAATTTTCATGTTCAAAATTTGAAAACAATATAAAAGTCTAAAAAAGTCAGAATAATTTAAAAACAGGCCTCAAAAAGAGACTGAAAGATGTGTTTTATACTGTAGACACATGGTGGCACCATTTTTGCTGCTTAACAGCAATACTAGAGAACCTTTGTTAATATTGTGTGATTATTCTCTAAAATTGTGCAAGTGCTTTAAATGGCTATTGTGATACTACTTTAATCATTTATTAATGGTATTGTTAGTGTTAAAAATGCTCCACAATATCAATAACTTTGAAACAGAATTTAGAGTTGATATTTATAGATTGTTTTTATTTATTACTCCCTTTGTTGTGGGCTGAATTGTGTCAACAATTCCATGTTCATATGTTGATGTTCAAACTGCCAGTATCTCAGAATGTGACTGTATTTAGAGACAGGGTCTTTAATGAGAAAATTAATTTAAAATTATCATGATTAGGACTAGAGTCCTGATAAGAAAATCAGGACACAAACATGTCTAGAGGGAAGACCCTGCAAGAACACATAAGAAGGTGCTGATCTACAAGCCAGAGAGGTCTCAGAAGTAACCAGCTGTGCTGATACATTGATCTCAAACTTGTAGCCTCCAGAATTGTGAGAAAATAAATGTCTATTGTTTAAGCCACCAAGTCAGTCTGTGGTACTTTGTTATGGAAGCCCTAGCAAACTCATATTCCCTTCAGTATATTTACAAATACAGAAACCATACAATACTTGTGGATTAATGTGCTGCAAAAGAATGCAATCTCCCTATTATATATTTATTCTTACAGGTAAACTGAGTCTTGATTTATGAGTTTGTAAATTATATGGGCTCTTCAGAACTCCTGGCCTCAGATAAAATATCACTGTCAGAATGTTGGCTGTGTTTTTCTACTATTAACCCCATTATACTGTGTGTTTAGTTCTTCACTGTGTGATGCTAGACAGTTATTTAAAAAGCATGGACCATATTTTTCTTGGAAATCTATAAAACAGAGATAATAAGAGTATCAGCAATAGGCTCTGTGAAGATGAAACGAATTGATACAAAGCATGTAGAATAGTGCTGGGAATTGAGAACATGTGCTATGCTGTTGATTATTGCTCTGCTTACATTCCATTTATCTCCTTGGGTAAAAATTTAAAAAATGCTTATCCTTCAAAGCACAAAAGAAAATATACCTCCTTTTTGAAGTTCAGTGGCTATACCTCCTGCTTCTTTTCAAGTTGAATAATAAATCAACTTGTGCTGTCAAAGATATTGCAAGAGATGAGCTTTAGTTTCTAAAAATTTGGATTCGAATAATTTGCATTTATCTATTACGTAATTTTAGAGATTTTGCTTAATTTATTTGAGTTTTCACAGCTAGTATGTCACCTGACACAGTGGAGTTCAGTATTTTCCTAATGAATATGTTTTTTCGTTTGTAGGTTGCGGAATATGATGTCAGTCTTATAAGACATTGCAGTTTTCTAAAGTGTGAGACAAATACCTGTGGAGGCACCAAGATAGATTTAGGTGAGACATAGATGTGGTATCAAGGACACTGTGTCATTCAGATATAGTTTTTCTTTCAACCTTATTTAAATGCTTCTTGGTAGGTCAAAGAAAAAAAATCTTAGTTTGAGGCTAATATTTTTAAATTCTTTTCTAATATTTGCTAATCTTCCTTTTGTAATCCACACAGACCAAACCTAAAGTGGAATCACATTTTTTATTCATTACAGTTATATTTACTGTTACTCTTATGACAGGTCATCATGCTTTTTCTATTAATGGTAATCTACAATGTTCTCTTTTAAAACACATTCATATTCATATAAAGGTAAGTTAAAGAAAAATATCAAGTATATAATATCGGTATGAGGATTGACAGAGATTCTTTCCTTAACCCAACTCTACCAAGGCTTCTCTAAGCCCTCTCATCAGCAAAGCCTCAAACTTGTCTATAAAAACTACAGACCCTCAGCACAAATGATTTCATCCACGTCCTTCCCCTACCTACTCGCCCACACACATTAAAAGACTTTAACAAACTAATAGAGTTTCTAACAGCTCAAGGCTGCATTTTTAAGATGAAGCCCCGTTAAATTTTTGTCTGACCAAGCTCACCGCTGACAAGGTAATTTGTTACTGCCAACAGGTGAAGGTAGGAACCCTGTTTCCGAGCATTTGCAGGAAGGATAAGAGACTAATTTCCATAAGCAACAGTTAACAAGCCAGATGGATTTCAAATGGACCATTCTCCTGCCCTTGCTTTTTGTAAATTTCCATTTCCCTGACTTTGATCAAGCCCAGTTGTTCTCTCTCCCTTCTCCTGCATTCTCCTTTGAAAATGCAGTCACCTCTGTACAAATTGTAGTTTAGTTCATTCTGGATCTTCTTCCCGATTGCAATAGCATATCACTATAATAAAAATCTGTCTTCACCACTTTAACTGGTGTCTTCTGTTTATCTTTGACCAGGATATGTTGAAAATTAACGAGGGTAATGTGCAAATTAGGTAAGTCTGGGCAACACTGAATATAAATTATTGTGTTCACTTCAAGGTAGTTGTTAAATTCATTCTAAGTGTGACAGAATTATCGTGTATCAAGTACTGTTTTAATTCATAAAAATTCCAAGAAAGAACTGAGTCTGCTACATAATTCTTGATTCTAAGAAATCCCCCAAATGAAGAAACTTTCAAAGGCTCTGGAAACAATACGAAGGATTCTGTTTTCGGTCACAATGGTGAACTGAACACAGTTGTCATCTTCCTCCTTTGCACCAAACTGGATATTCCAGAAAAGCGCAAGAGACGTAATGGGAGACAATCACTGGATGCAATCCACTTATCATCTCCGTTTTATGTCCCATTCTTACTTCGCCGGAGCTCATTCGATGAAGTGGTAACTTGATGACGATGGAAACATTGGGCGTCCAGCATGGAACTTTTTCCCACATTTACTTCTTGCCAAAACCTTCCTAGATTCACGATTACATTCAATGTTACGGCCCGTTTCCTTTCAGATGCAGTTTAAGATTAGCAAAATCATTGACAACATGGGGAATATATTTCGACCTCCAGATTTTAAAAGAGCCATTATTATTTTGTCATTAGGTAGAAGGCTAAGCCTCAATGTTGTGCTAATAATAGCATCTTTAAGCTCCTGCACTTAAGATCTCGCCTCCTGGTTCGGGAATCAGATTGCCTGGGCGGCCCGCCAGGCTCCACAGCTCCACACCAGTGAGCTCCTAGCCAAGTGACTCTGTCCTGATTTCCTGAGGTAGTTTGAGGGAAGTGACAGTACACACACCACAGGGCAGTAGTGAGAAAGAAAGAGACAATGCAAAGGAATTGGCACAGCACTCAGCAGATAATGCAAGCTAGTATGTACTCTTTCTACACACTGCATTTTAGGGGGTAAATTGAAAGCCTCAATTCATGTAACCGCTCCACTACCCGGCGCCAAGACGCGCTAATGTCACGACGTCGTGCGGCGCGCAGACGTCAGCAAACTGCGCCGCGTCTTCGGGGTTCAACCGGAGCCGGCAGTTGGGCGGAACTACCAGGGTTCATTGTTTCCTCCGCTTCAGAGGATCTGTTTGAGTCCTGTCCACCGGACCCTACCGGGGTACCTTCGAATAAAAGCGGGATATGCTGCTGTTGCGTGTCGGTAGCCTGTCCTGACGCCTCCTCCGCCCGGGTCATGTTGACCCTCATGGGTCGGGGCTGGGGGTGCGCACGCGCGCTCGCGCCGCGGGCCACCGGGGCCTCGCTTCTGGTGGTCCCGGGGCCCCGGTCCGCGTTAACCTTCGGGGCTGCTCCGGAGTCCTGGGCTACCGACAGGCTCTACAGCTCCGCTGACCTCAAGGTGACTGCCCCCTGGAATATGATTTAGCTACGTTTTAAAAAATTAGAGTGCCGCATGTGATCTTGGAAATGTGCAAGGCTTCCTAGGACTAGCTTTGAACCCTGTTTGCGACTTGGTACAGTGGGCCAGAGCAGAAAGTGTGAGCACTGCTCAGGTTCCCGACCCTTCACCCCCAACTAGTGTGACCTTGGGAAAGTCACTGACTTACTAGCTTTTCTCATTTGCAATGTCAAATGTTGATTTGTTTATGCGAGCCACTGGGTCGAAGCACTTTGCGTGTATTCATCCTTTTAATTCTAAAAAGCCTGCTGAGAAAGTTGCTAGTAAATATTAATATAACGTCCATTTTCCTGCAAATTAACTAGCTATGTGACCTGGGTAAGTTACTTCTTTGTCACTCTCCTGCTTCATTTGTTGAATGCAGAACCAATCAAAACATCCAGTCGCTAACTTGTATGATTTGTGTGATGTGAGAAGTGGACTTTTTTAGACTAATACCTAGAATTCAAGAAGTGCTCGGTCTGTCTTTGTAGTTTTATTATTTCATTCTACCTCAGCCAGGGCAAACCTGTGTAATTTTGACTGCGGTGGGAGAGGGTGGGAGGTTCAACAACTCTGATAATTGTGAAGGGACACAGTTTGGGCAGGAAACTGAAGTGATTGAAGGCAAGCTGTCAGTAAGTGGAAAAAAAAACCTTATAATTAATTAACTTTGGTCCTAATATGCCTGTGGTTTTAAAAATGGATTTATATTGCAATTCAGAGTTCTTAAAAATGGTACAATTCTGTATACCTTTTGAACTGAAGAGAAAAAATCTACAGGGCAAATATCAGAATTAGTTAAAAAAAATTTTTTTGGTAAACTGTCAGCTGTAATGGTGCTTTTATTATCTGTCTTGTATTGGGCTACTATAAAAGAACTTAAAGCTCATGTGAATTTTATGTTTCATTGTAATTTCATGGTTTTGCTGATTGTGAAATACAGATTTGATTGGAAAAAATGTTTAGAGTACAAATAACTGGTATATTTTGCTTGATATCAGTTTCTAGCAGATTGTGCTGTGTTTTAGTAAACCGTTAAAGATGTGTACACTAAAAACCAGGAGTTCTATTTTGAAATATTTCCAAATTTTAAGCCTTAAAAGTCCTTTGTCTGATATCATTTTTTTTTTTTTCTCACCAGAGAAGCTGCCAAGTAGCAAAATTGTATCTAAAATAAAATTTTGAGGCCCAATTAGAAACACAGAGTTTTTGTTTTTGTTTTTGAGACAGAATCTCAGGTCGCTTAGGTTGGAGTGCAGTGGCACTATCTTGGCTCACTGCAACCTCCACCTCCCAGGTTCAAGCGATTCTCCTGACTCAGCCTCCAGATTAGCTGGGACTACAGGCATGTGCCACCATGCCCAGCTAATTTGTGTATTTTCAGTAGAGATGGGGTTTCACCATCTTGGCCAGGCTGGTCTTGAACTCCTGACCTCGTGATCTACCTGCTTCGGCCTCCCCACGTGCTAGGACTACAGGCATGAGCCACCGCACCTGGCTGAGACACAGATTTTTAACTAAATCTGATTCCTGATTAAATGTTTGATAGGTGCAGAAAATTTCTCTTCTTTCAGCTTTTCTGTAGCTTCACTGCCTCAAAAGTTTTACTGGACAAGGTATTCTCAGGCCTTTAGAAGTTCTAAGTATCTTATGTTCTCCATTCATGATAATAAGTTCAGCTCCTGATTGGCCCTAAAAATGGTGTAGAAACGTTAAGTGATTGTTATTTAGTTATATAGTTACCTTTGACTATTAAACTGATGTTCCTTGTAATATGAATTTAGCAGTATATGTCTTTATTCTTAGAAAAATATAAACAATATTATATGCTAGAAATGATACTGTTCAACGATTAAAAGAATATTCTTTGAATTGATGTAGTTGTTTTATAGCATGCAAAATTTATACTCCTAAATGTGGTATTTCCCCTTTCTAGGAAAAGCTTGACATGTCTAGATTTCCTGTTGAAAATATTAGAAATTTCAGTATCATTGCACATGTGGATCATGGCAAAAGTACTTTAGCTGACAGGCTCCTAGAACTTACAGGTATTTTCATTTATATTACATACTTAACTGATGGCTGAGAGTTACTGAGAATTACTTTCACCGTACTCTTAAATTTTAATTTCATAAGTAAAATTCTCTTTCTTTTTTAAAGCCCAGAGAAGTATCAATAAGTTTTTCTGTTTATAGGGACAATTGATAAAACAAAGAATAATAAGCAAGTTCTCGATAAATTGCAAGTGGAACGAGAAAGAGGAATCACTGTTAAAGCACAGACAGCATCTCTTTTTCACAATTGTGAAGGAAGGCAGTACCTTTTAAATCTCATTGATACACCGGTAAGCCTAATATTAATTTTGCATGTATTGTTAAAGTCAATATTGTGTCAATAGTGCAGACAGATCCTTGTTTAATTTTTGAATTGAATATTAAACATCTGCTCTTGCTTTTTGTTTTCTTAGTGTTCTTCTATTAGTGTCAGTTGTTTCAAAAGTGCAGGCTACAAAAAAGAAACCAGTATTTAACAACTTTTATCAAGTAGAGTCAATAAATTTCCCTTAATGCCCTTTCCTAAAAAATTCCAGCTCACATTTACAGGTATCAATATTTTTGTTTCTCAGGGACATGTTGATTTTAGTTATGAAGTATCCAGGTCACTTTCTGCTTGCCAAGGTGTTTTACTTGTGGTTGATGCAAATGAGGTAGGTACTTTTCATTTTGTATGATGTGACATGTGATATGACATGATTGGTTGTTTCAACAGGTTTTTCTTTAAAATGTGTTTCGGAAATAGAATTTTTGTAATTTAAAAAATAGATTTATGAGAAATACCTAATGGAGACGATGGGGTGATGGATGCACCAACCACCATGGCATGTGTATACCTATGTAACAAACCTGCATGTTCTGTACATGTACCTCAGAACTTCAAGTATAATTAAAACATAGATTTAATCTATTACTTATTCGAAATCATATGGTTTCATCCTGTTAACTTGAAATACTATTATACTAAAGCATTCTCTGGAATTAACTAGTGTTTAAATTGGAGTTGTTCAAAAGATTGTATTTTTTTGAAGTGTGATGTCATATTATCATTGCATCTTCCCCCCCAAAAAAAAGCCTACCAATTTTAGCAGTTCTTAATCTGAGCTTTCTATATCCATTTTTAGCAGATCTTGCAAATAAATCTTTAGTTAGGCAATAATTTGGGGAGTATTAGGTTTTTAAAAACGACATGACTAAGCTTTTTTGTGCTGTAAACCCTAAAGACATTGAGCAGATGACCATATAAAAGCTGTGAAAGCTGTGAATGTACTTAAGTAAGATTTTGATATATGTTTCCCACAAACTCAAAACCTAATGTTTTCTTGCTGGTTGTGATGGTGTTGTGTTAAGCCTTTCCTGATTCTGTTAAGGAAAGTCAGTCTCTAACTTTTATAGGCAGTACTGAGTTTTATAAACTGCCTTGATGACTGTGTTCTCTCATAAGCTTTGAGGTCCTTGAGAGTCCATGTTACATCTTTGTTTCTGCAATGCCTGATAAATGCTTTCTGAACTGAAAGGAATTATAGGGAATGATCCAGATGCATAGAAAAACAGGTACCATAGTTGATTTGCCCTGTACCTTTCCTTAAAGGCTTCCCATCTCAAACTTAGTAGACTGTCTGTTTGGTCACTCTGCTTGATGTGGTTATTGCTTTACCATCAGTGATTTTCATTTTGACCCCAAAAACATAAGTTGGAAAGAAAAGTATGAAGGGTAGTTACGTGGCATTTAATTTAATTTTATTATTAGCATGATGCAAAAATCTCTTGATGAAGATGTGTGGAGTGGTCTTAAATTACAACTTTTGTGATGGATGATAGAATGGTCATCTCAGTATTTTGTGTCTTGATCTTTTCAGGGTATTCAAGCGCAAACTGTAGCAAACTTCTTTCTTGCCTTTGAAGCACAGCTATCGGTAATTCCAGTTATAAATAAGGTAATTACAATAAGACAACAGTGTTATTATTTCACTTTCTTAAAGTACAGTTAGTGTTTAAATGTCAGTTGTATTATTTACTATATGAGGGATCTCCAGGTATTTATTAAATATATTGTGGAATTTATCTCTTTGTAATGTATGTAATGGAAGTACAACTGATACTCTACCCTTGCACAGAGTTGAGAGGATACCTCCCCTAAATTATCTTGCAGGTGACTGAGGGCCATTTCTGTAAGGAAGGGAGGCAGGGTGGACAAGTCATCTTTGTCAGATTAAACCATACATAGGAAATATAATCTAGGAAGAAACAAGACAACTCATGAAGCATAACAATTTAGTGCTAAACTGAGCTCTGTCTATAAACTTCCATTTCATATTTTAAAATTAATTTATAATCTTAATTTTAAAATCTGCATTGCTTTAAATTGTATTTCTTGATATTGGGGTTAAGTTTAAAAGAAGGCCATAGGTAAGACAGCTTGTTGTCAGACTTGATGTTATATTTGAATTAACTTTTAAAATCAGTTCACATGCTGCTTAATTGATAAATTGCTACTGATCTCTTCTGCTGCACTGAGTAGCCAACTGCTTAAGTTTTTTTGCATGCTCTTTGCTACCTAACTTCTCTTTTTCAGTCATGGTTATTAAATTGTACTGCTAATATATCAATGATTTTTTAAAAAATCATAGTGGGGTCAGTTAGGTTAAAACGGTAAGCTTTTAACTACCTTTGAATACTGTTAATACATAATTCATCTTATCTTTATTGTACTAACACATAATGGATTTTTTTTTCTAGATAGATCTGAAGAATGCTGATCCTGAAAGGGTTGAAAACCAAATTGAGAAAGTGTTTGATATTCCAAGTGATGAATGTATTAAGGTAAAATACTTTCTAAAAAGATTATACTTTGAAAAATCAGGTAATTGAGTAAGTGAAATTTCATGGTATTTGATAATCTGGCATTATACGCTGTTTTTTATAGTTTTACAAATTCTTTTACTATTATTTTCTTTGATTCTTACCAGAAGCTCTTTTTATATTGTTAGGACATACAGAAATTATTGCGATGCTGTAGTTTAAGGAACTGAGGCTCAAAGGTTTTATCACTGTCCTAATACCACAGGGTTAGTTAGCCAGTGTGCCAGGACTAAAACACAGGCCTTCTGAAACTCCCTGCATTTATTGTATTGTCATTTTGTCCAATGGAAATATTGTCTTTGAAGAGCAGGTTCAGACTAATTTCAAGGCATTTGTCTGTATCATTCTTGGAACCGACAAAAACCTATTTTATGAAAAGCTAGGTATACTAATGTTAGGAAACAATAGATTTTGTTTATATCAAAGTAGCTACCACTTTAAATTTGAATTTTTACTTACCTTTCAAATGATGATTTCCTTGTTAAACAGCCATAGCCAAACTGCTGTGCTACATGGTAATGTAATGAATGTATTGTGAGCGCAGCAATGTGTAGTGTTTTTCTTTCAATCTCATTTAATTTTTGAAAGAGCAAGTTGTATATGGTTTTATATTTTGGATTGTGTTATATTAAAATATAATTAACTATTCTGATTTTAATCTTAACAAAAATCATTCAGATTCTTATTTGGTATATGCCAGCTAGGAGTATGGCAGTGCACAAGATAGGCAGGATCCCTCCCTCTTTGCAAGCAGTAAATAGATAAGTAAACAAAGAAGTGAGCATAGGAATTATTGACTAGGATAGAGATTGTCAAGGAAATTCATTCAACAAATTCTATTTTTCTAGGTGAAATATCATAATTAACAGTGAAAAATCGTTTTTTTCTTAGAGAGATGTTGTGACATGGAATAACTTAGCAAAAGCTTCTTTGATAATCTGAAACCTGAAGGAATGAATAATTTTCAGAAAAGAATCCCAGGAAGAAAAAAAGAGCATATGTAAAGGACTTAAATTAGGAAAACATTTGTCATGTTTATGGATCAGAAAGGCAGACTGGGTAAGAAGGCTTTGTAGGGGTATGCAGGAATCAAGTCATGCTGGGACTCTTGCTGTGCTAAAGAGCTTGAAAATTATTCTAAGGCAACTGAAGAATTTTAAAGCAAGAAACACAAATAAACCAGTGATTGGGCTAGCCTTACAGAGAATGGATCGAAGAGGTCCAAGAAGAGAAATAGAGTCCAGCTAGTAATAGTAGCTCAGATGTTAAACTATTATTATTATTACTATTATTTTTTTCCCTGAGACAGAGTCTTATTCTGTCACCCAGGCTAGAGTGCAGTGGTGCGATCTTGGCTTACTGCAACCTCGGCCTCCTTGGTTCAAGCAATTCTCCTGCCTCAGCCTCCTGTGTAGCTGGGATCACAGGCACCTGACTCCGTGCGCCCTGCTAATTTTTGTATTTTTAGTAGAGACAGGGTTTCACCATCATGGCCAGGCTGGTCTCAAACTTCTGACCTTGTAATCTGCCTGCCTCGGCCTCCCAAAGTCCTGGGATTACAGGCATGAGCCACTGTGCTCGGCCCAGATGTTAAATTATTGTGGCTAAGTATTAACAACCCGTATGAAGAGAAAAGGAGATTATCATCCAGGAGGAAACAACATAACACATAAAACGTAATAGTTTATTGCTAAACGGAGCACTGTCTACAAACCTTCATTTCAAAATTAATAAAAATTAATAATCTTAATTTTGAAATTTATAAAGAACCTTAATTTTTAAACCTGTAGGATATTAAATGATGTTTCTTGATTTGGGGTTAAGTATATAAGCAGCATGGCTGCCCATAGGCAAGATCACTTGTTGTCAGATGCAAGAAATTGTGACATGGTAAAAGCCCCATAAAACTTCATACCTCAACCATACCTTGGCTTTCTGTTGAAACTGCTCTTTGTAACCCTAATGTGACAGGCAAGCAGTCCAAACCCATGCCATCTAGGCCCCTGGGACTTGTAATAAGTAATTAAGGTCTGTGATTTCCACCCTACCCAGACAATGTGTAAACAAATGCTAATCTTGACTTTTGTGAACCACTTAAGTAACAATCAGAATGTCAAAAGTCCCCTGGCCCTCGGAATGTCCGGAGCCCCTCACCCTCATCTTTGCCCAGGAATCCACTGTAATGTCCAGAAGATTCCTCACCCTCATCTCCACCCAGGAGGTGATTTACAGAATCTACTAGCTCTCAGAATGTCTGAAGCCCCTTACTCCCACCCCCACCCCTCACCCTTACCTTCACCCCGGAGTTGGTTTTATGGGTATAAAATGCCTTGACACCCTTCTTTTGGTGCCACGGATTGGAGAGAGTCAAGTCCTCCATGGCCGCTGGCAATGACCCTGCAATTTGGCATACTTTTGTCTTGGTGTTGACTTTTATGCTCGGGCCAGTACAACAAAATGAACCAGACCATTTATTTGATTTTTTTTCTCCTGTAATGTTAAGCTGCTCTGTATATGGGCATAGAAAATACACTTAATTGGATGCAGGCAAGGTGGAGGTTTTGTCAGCTGCCTATGAGGAAAGAGTAGAAAGTGGTTGAACCAGAATGACCGGAAATAATGGATCTTAGAGTCCCGTCTGGGAAAGGATATAAACAGAGTGGAGAGTGGAGCTGATGGACAGCATCAAGTAGTATATTCAATAGTTTCAAGTTAAGGACTGTTGTAAAGAAAGTACTACAGTCTAGAGCAGTGGTTGGCAGTGGTGATGGTTCCTGGGCAAATACTTGGAGGCATTTTTGGTTTTCATAACTTAGGAGGGATGCTACCAGCATCTTGTGGGTAAATGAGGTGCCTTGGTTGCTGCTGAACAGCCCCAAAACAAAGAATTATCTGGCCCAAAATGTCAGTAGGGCTGAAACTGAAAAATCCTAGTCTAGAGTGAATGTGAAGGGTAAGAAGTTTGAGACAGGATTTAAGAGGTAGTCAATTTATTACTGGCGATAAAGGTCAGTCATACCATGTGGTTTGATTATTGGCTTGCTTTTCTGCTGTGAGAACAGTGAAGTAGTAAGATGCATTATAGTTTCATGCCATCCATATATATTGTTTATCCACACAACAACCTTGAGATTTAGGCAGAATATGAATAATCACTTCTTTTTTTAGAAAATGAAATTTAAGCTCAAGGAGATAGATACTGGTCAAATACATGCATTCAATGCAGAGACGTGATTTTTACCCAGATTTTGAACTCTTAGTGTATTCCTCTTGCAATACCATAATCAGGAGTCTCTTCTAATTCAATCCTAGAACCACAGAACTACCTAACTATATTAGAAAAAGAGATATTTGTCAATATGCTGTTTGCTTTGTTTTTTTCCTTTTGCTGTATTTCTCAAATTAATAACTATTAGAATTTGTTCTTCCTTCAAATAATAAATCACAGGTCATCAAGATAGAAAAGTATAGTTTTAACCTTAAATGGTTATTTTTTTCCCATGTATGTTTTTAGATTTCTGCTAAACTTGGAACAAATGTTGAGAGTGTTCTTCAGGCAATTATTGAAAGAATCCCCCCGTGAGTATTTTGTGATTTTTGTACTAGTTGTCACTATTTAATAGTTCAAAAACTGTCTGTATTTAATAGTTCAAAGACTGTCAGCTTGAACTGTTATTTTAGGTAAATGTGGCAAATTTTCTTGCAGGGAGTGAGAATAAGTTTATTTGCTTTTAGTAATACATAGAAGGCAAGTTCAGTAAAGTAAAAGAAAAAGCAAAGATGATTGATAGAGGTTTCTTCTTGACAGTCACTGTAAAACATACCTCAGTACATTGGCAGTTATTTTCCTTTGCTTTAAGCTGAACAACTATATTCATAAGTAATCTGTTAAAACTAGAGGTTATTAAATCTAATATGTTTTATAAAAAGTTCTCTTTATTTAGGCTGTTGTGTATCAAACCTTCTCAAGAACTCAAATTAAATACAGTATCTAAGTGGCCAATATGAATTTTACTAAGATTTTAATTTAGTATATATGTATTTACTTTTACTTATATTTACTAGTCCTAAAGTGCATCGCAAAAATCCCCTGAGAGCTTTGGTATTTGACTCCACCTTTGACCACTATAGAGGTGTGATAACCAATGTAGCATTATTTGATGGAGTGGTTTCCAAAGGAGATAAAATTGTATCTGCACATACTCAAAAGATATACGAAGTTAATGAAGTAGGAGTTTTGAATCCTAATGAGCGGCCAACTCATAAATTGTAAGTAATCTGCATTAGTAATTAAAATGTATTTGTATGTATTTCTATTTCTGCTTTTTTATCAACTTGGTGTGCTTAGAATGATCCTTATTTAGTAACTTAAAAAAATTTATTGCAACTATACAGTAAATGCTTTGTCAAAAGGAATCTCATGTGTGAGGGATAATAGAAACTTTAGTGGTTGTAAATTATAATACAGGTTTTTATTCTGGATGACTAGTCATAACTAGGTTTACGATCCAGGGTAGATTGGATGATATATTGATATTTGATGAGACAATGAAAGAGTTAGTTCCCTCCAGCCATATTTAAATTGGATATCATTTTTGACATTTCTTCATAACTAGATTTTCCACTGTAAAGGTAGTATAGAAACCTTAATAAATCTTTGTGTGTAATTCATGGTAAAACCTTGATTAAAATTCTTGGGGAGTGATATTAGCAGTGGTAGTATGCATTACAAAAACACATCTGAATTGACTTATAAAAGAACTATTTATTGAGTGCCTACTCCGTATCAGGTACTGATGAGACATGACCTTGGATACATAATTTGAGCTTTGTGAGGTCCTGTTTCCTCACAATAATTTAATTTCTGTAGAGATTATTGAACCAGATGACTATCAGATTACATTTGAGTATTTAGCATTGTATGTCTAACAACAACACTATATTGAGTTAGAAGGTCTAATTTTACTGAAATATTTTCGATTTATATTGCACATTATCACATATATACTGAATAATATCATATCTTCATTTAAGGTTCTTATAGCTCATTCTAAGTATAAATTAGTTTAACTTTGTAGGGAATTGTGTGTTTTCTTTAATTATCATTTTTTTAACTAAGCTTAAACTGAACTCATGGGATTTGTTCTTTTGCTACAGGAGGAGTAGCAGCAAATGGCCAGTTTATTGAAAGTTCACATTTTTCTTGGATAAAAATTTACCTTTTTTTTCCTTTGTTAAAGAACATTTGCAACACCATTAATTAAAGATATCACAAGTAGTGTACATTCTGTAATGCTTTTGTACTTACTGGTTTCACTGTATTTACAATATATTTTAGAAACTGCTGTTTAAATTGCAAAGGTTGGCAGAGTCATGAAAAAGACCTTAGGTCAGTGAGTGGAGAGGTATAATGGATTGTAGATGTGGTGTGTTCATTTGCTGACAAGCTTCAAAGTTTGAGAATTGATATATAGCACTTATTTTCAGTTTGACGAGGTTTTGTTTGGAAAGTGTATGATAGTTTCCTGGAAGGTAGAATTAATTGTGAGTTACGTGCTTGAAACATTTAAAGCAGTAAATATTTGCATATAATAATTTTATTTAGATATGCAGGACAGGTGGGCTATCTGATTGCTGGGATGAAAGATGTCACTGAAGCGCAAATAGGAGATACATTACATTTACATAAGCAACCAGTGGAGCCCTTGCCTGGGTTTAAATCAGCGAAACCAATGGTATTTGCAGGTGAGGAGCTCACAAATTCAAAGGTTGAGGGCCTTTAATTTGTTGAGGGCCTTTAACAGTATTTTTAATCTAAAGGTCTGACTCTATGGTTAAAGAAAAATTACTACAAGATAAATATACGTTCTGATTATTTTAAATAACCACTAATTCCAGCATATTGTTTCACTTAATTCTTTGTGCTGTTCATCAGTTTCTAATTTCATGTGTATGATGAAATTTTATGTGGGAGATCATTTAGGACTCGTTAAGAACTAAGCTCTTAAGGAAGAAGCTGTGATATATAGAACACAATTATACAAATTTATTTCTTATTTTTCCAGGGAGTTCATTATATTTTAAACATTTTACTATTAGGATGTTTTTATTACTAATTATCAGTAGACACTGCGTGCCTTTATCTTCGATAGACTTTCTTTAATATTGTATTGTACTCATGTAGACATGACAGAGAATGGTGTTGCCTCAGTATGTGTAATTTCAGAATCGTTTACTTCCTTTACTTTGGAAAAAGGAAGACCTGATAGAAGGTCATCAGGTTATTCTGTGCTGAGTATCTAGCCCTTGGTTTTCACTCTATAGTTCTCTTTCACTGGGAATTAGGAACTTTGTTTACCCTTACCTTTAGGCAAAGTCAGTCATCTGGATTTTAGAGGACTTCAGAGGTGTCAGATGAAAGAGAATCATTAATGGCTCCCATAGTTTTTGTCAGTAAATACCAAAAAGCAAAATTTAACTTTGGTTTTAAATAGATAATCTGCCTTAGAGAATTGAGAGTCAGTATAGTTTTTCATTTCTACTCCTATTTTTATCTAATAATAGAGTTTCATTTGGGTTGTGGAATGTCTTGTGCTTTTGATTTTTGAAATACAATGTGTTTTCTTAATAGGACTAATTCACATGGTTTTAAAAATTTTCCCTGTGTTTTTTCAAAATCCTTAAAAACATTGGAGGGCAAATCTAGTTGTATATTCTTTAAGACTAATGATTTTTAAGATACATTGAAACCAATTTAACGTAATACTCATAATTTTTAGCAAACCAGTATTTTGGACAATAAAATACAAGCAAGTAATTTACAAGGTAAATGACTAATTTTGAATTTGGCAGCACTACACATGTGGTTTGATTGTTCTATAGATAGCTTATCACATGATAACTGGAAATCATTGTATCTCCAGGAATATATCCTGTAGACCAATCTGAATATAACAATCTGAAGAGCGCCATAGAGAAACTGACTTTAAATGATTCCAGTGTGACAGTTCATCGAGATAGTAGCCTTGCTCTGGGTGCTGGCTGGAGGTAAGATAAATTCATATTTTTTTTTATAGGAAAGGGAGGTATAAGTGATTTATTTAAAAAAATTTTCATAGGAAAGGCAGGTTTTAAAAATATTTTTATAGGTAAAGGAGATATAAATGGTGCATTGTTCTGGAACATTTACTGAAAATAAGCTTGTATTAGTGTAAAGTGAATGAAAACAATTTTTATCTGCCCATTTCGTGTGTGGGTTGACATTTTATGGATAAGTTTTATAGTGATTTAAAATAGATTCCTGGTGTAAGATTTTAATCTTATTTAATAAAATTATGCTAGCATGTAATTATATTGTGAATTGTTTGAATGACTCTTAATTCCATCCCTCCCTTAAAGTAACAATATGTTCATTAAAAAGAAAAATGAGGCCCATGGAACATAAACATTTTGGAGTTTGTCTTTTTCATCTCCCAGGCTAGGTTTCCTTGGACTTTTGCACATGGAAGTATTCAACCAGCGACTAGAGCAAGAATATAATGCTTCTGTTATTTTGACAACACCTACTGTTCCATATAAAGCTGTACTTTCATCATCAAAACTGATAAAGGTACTTGATATTTATTTGCATTAGTCTTTTGGAAAAAATAAATGTGTATATATACAATGCTGGAGAAACTTTTTAGTATACCAGTAGCTTATTAGGTATTAAACCAAAAATTTATTGATTAGTAGTAATAAAAATTGAATTATCCTATGGCTAATTGAAGAAATTTTTGAAAACTACCTTAATGTCATATTTTTCTTAACCTGATATAATCTCAGCATTATCAAAACTGATCTGTTGCTAATAGTAAAAGGTAAAATTAGTAGTGAAAATAATGTTCTGATTCTAGCACAAAGATGAAAAATGTAAATTTGGTCATAAGTAATTGATCTCATAAAAAGTAAAGCATTCATTCCTGTGACTGAGAAATTTTAAATTTCAAATCAGTGATGAAAACAATATTGTATTCCATGCAAGTGGCAATCTGTTCATTTTAAATAAATATTAATTTGGGTAGTCTAAATATTTTCCAACAAAAATTAACTTGTTAAACTAATTATAATGTTTTATAACTGTCAGGTTAAAATGTATTCTTTAGTCATACTTTTTCTAAATGGTCCATGAAATATGTTTAGTAAATATCAATAATTGGAATATATTATTTACTAATACTTGTTATTAATATTAAATGATTACAGCTGGAGGGATATAAAGCAAACTTTTAAGAAACATGATAATTATATTAAGATTTCTTTTTAAATATTGCTGATTTTTCTAATTTTTAGGAATATAGAGAAAAAGAAATTACAATTATCAATCCTGCACAATTCCCTGATAAATCAAAAGTAACAGAATATTTGGAGCCAGTTGTTTTGGGTACTATTATCACACCAGATGAATACACTGGAAAAATAATGATGCTCTGCCAGGTATAACTGTAATACAATTTAATACAAAATTAGATTTTACTCCTCTAAAATAGTGATTTCCAAAAGATTTCTTTCTGCTGAGTATACTGAATAAGAGATTTTCATATATATGTGTATATCTATACATGTATATATAAGTATGTATACTTTTTAAATTATTTTGATTTTAAATAAGAAAAATATTTCTGATAATTTGTGTAATTTACTGAGTTGATATTTTAGCCTAAAGAAATTTGATGCTTACTTATAATTTCTTTAGCCTTTTTGAGTAGTTTGAAAAATAAATAGAGTATTTCAGGTACCATAAATTAGAAGGTATTCCCATTTTGCTTTAGTTCTCACCACAGTGTATTAAATGATTTAATCCACAAATGGTATGTAATTATATTTCTTAAAAATACCTATGTGAAATACTCATAGATATGGGAAAGTGTCAAATGGTGACTTGAGTTTTAATTATGTTAAAAACTGGATTGTACTCTTGATCTTTCACTTTTAATTTCTCTGGACCTAATAATTTGTAAAACAAGAAATTAGGACTTTTGATTTTGATTTATAGTTAAATGAAAATAGTGTTTATTTTAAAAGATAAAATTGTTAAAGATTAAAAGCTTTGGTAGAAAGCATAATGTAATTGAAATACAAAATGTTTCTCCCTGGATTATGAATACTGCTCACAGGTTTTTATTAGACCATTAGATAAATACATTATTCCTCAAAAAGTAGGTTATCCTTAAACTCGTTTTTTTCCTTCCCTTTTTAGGCTCGAAGAGCAGTTCAGAAGAATATGATGTTTATTGATCAAAATAGAGTTATGCTTAAGTATCTCTTTCCTTTGAATGAAATTGTGGTAGATTTTTATGACTCTTTGAAATCGCTATCTTCTGGATATGCCAGGTAAAATATTAATGAGAACCTAAGATGCCTGACCAACCTTGTTGAAATATTGATGAGCAAGAGTATACTAATCTTCATTTATTTAGTAATTTCTGCTCTCTTGAAAATAGATGAGAATCATACTCTAAGATTAGAATGACTTGAAGCAACGTCATAGGTGTTACAGAGTACTTGTAATTTGCTTATAGGAGAAAAGTTTCCTTTCATTTATTATCTTTTATTTCTCTCTTTTTTTTAAAAAAAGGTCCCCTTTTCATGAAAAAAGTTGTATTTCTTGTGTGTTAATTAAGAATTAGACCTAATTTCAAAAATACACTGTAACCTCAAAGGCACTTTTAAAATATATTTGTATGTTATGTAATCTCAAGAGCATCTATTTACATTTGAAAAATAGAAGTGCATATCCAGTCTGTAAAAAATGCTACCTGCATTTGTGAACACTTTAATAACTTAGTCTTTCCAGGAACAGGTTGTCTACATCATGAAAACTATTGGGTATCTCAGAGGAGTACATGGAGAAAAGTCAGATAAAAGTGAAAAGAGAATTACTACTAAATAACAAGGAACTCAGGGCATAGCATTCTGAGAGGCTGTTTGTTGTTGTTGTTGTTGGAGCATGTAACTCTAGATACCCTCACTATGCCCTAAAATCTTATGTTACAGGACAGTAGATAGTAGAATATAGATATAAAATGTGCTAAAGCAGAAGGGGAAAAATTAGCATTGACATCTATATACTTCCCACACAGTGCATGAATATTAATATTAACATGTAGAGACAAATTCCATTCATTAAAGAACATGCTACAGTGACTTGGAAGTTTAACTTTATTTATCATCTTGTCAGTGAAGACTTAGCATATATGATAACTCTTCTTACCAAAGAATCTTCATGTCCTTTTGTGTTGAGAATTTTTTTTCTACTTTGTCACCCAGTTTTTTTTTCGTATGTGTCTTTCAGACAAGATGTTGAGCAAGTAAGTGTCAATGGAATTTAAAGTAACATAAATTGAGAGGGCATATTAAAATTACCAGAATTGAAAGGAAGATTACTAGGTTTAATATTTATAAATATTTTTAACAGAAGTCTGTCAATTTTAGTTTGCATTTTGGTACTACTTTCTCAGTTATAGGTGGTCTTAAAAAGTCTTCGTTTGGAAGCTTAAATACATTTTGAATTTAATGAAAGAACATGATTTATTTTTGAACTACATAAAAATAAAATATTCCAGCTTCCAGCATTAAGGTAATTGTTATGTTCAAGATGGATATCTTACATATTCAGTCAATTCCACACTTAACAGAAATTCATAGACTATGGGCTATGGATTAAGATCAGGAAAGAATTTCATGCCATGAGGCAAGAATCAACTGCAACAGGGTCAGAGCAGGGATTCCTGTGTTATATATACAAGGACTGTAATGATGCCCTATGAAACAAGCATTTGCCATCAACCCATAGCCTCAGTAGCTTTTTGGAATTAAAAATGCGTTTCCTGCATTCTAAGAACAATAGAATACCTATGTTTGGAGTAGAGGTTAGGTATCCATTGGGCTGCTTGGAAACAGAAACACAATTTTTATAATGACTTCTTTTGAAGAAATGGGTTAAGAAACTTTTAATATTTGGACGACAAGATAGTTGGAGCTATAACAGCCTCAAAGTTAGGGACCATGCCTGTTTTATTCTCTCTGTTACATTTGCTTTTTACTGTATGGGTGCTTAACATGGTGTCTCATACAGTAAATGTTTAATAAGTGATGCTTCCTGAAGAAAGGATTTTAACAGTACCTCTGACAATAATCTGGTAATAGAGTGTATTGTCACTTTATGACTGTCCTGCTGAAAATCTTTAGAAACCAGACATAATTTTGCAAGTCCAGGCACCAATTGTTTTAAAATTAAGACAACAGGGTATATGTGTTCTTGTCTGTGATTGGGACAACTTGTAAGCCTAATTGTTAGACTTCAGTTTTATAAGTTAAGCATTTAGATGTTGTTTTGATTGACATTGCAAGCTTTGACCACTTTGTTAAAAGTAATAGCTGAAACTAAGTGCTTGTATGTATGCTAAGGTAGGCTCTATTTTAATGCTTATTATGAACTAGGCCTTGCTCAAAGTGGTTTACATGTATTAACTCATTTAATCCTTACAAAAGCCCTGTGAAGGGAGGTTCAAGCTGAAGAGCCAAATAGGAAATCCAGAAGTCTCATTTATTAATGGCATTTTATGAGAGCCATAGTATTTATTAAAACATAGAGTTGTCATTGGGAATAGAAAGCTAAATAGAAACTCAACTCATGAATCTGAAAAGGATCCATTAATAGGTAATATTGTCTGAAGGATGCCAGCTGCTGGGAACATTGGAAAGTCATGATATTTGTCTTCAATAAACCATTTTCTTTGTCAGGTTCACCAATTTCTTTTCCTTCCCCCTGTAAACATATTCCCCTTGCTTTGGCCAGTGATTTAATAAACATAGAAAGACGATAACATTTAGATCCATTAACAAGAAACTGTATATGTAATATTTTGATGGAAAGTTAGATCTCTTTGGGGAGTGTAATGGGACAGAAAATAGACATTTTGTAAAGAGTAAAAAAGCGGGCCAGGCACGGTGGCTCATGCCTGTAATCTCAGCACTTTGGGAGGCCAAGGCAGGTGGATCACAAGGTCAAGAGATCAAGACCATCCTGGTCAACATGGTGAAACCCCATCTCTACTAAAAATACAAAAAATTAGCTGGGCATGGTGGTGCATGTCTGTAATCCCAGCTACTCAGGAGGCTGAGGCACGAGAATTGCCTGAACCCAGGAGGCGGAGGTTGTGGTGAGCCGAGATCGCGCCATTGCACTCCAGCCTGGGTAACAAGAGTGAAACTCCGTCTCAAAAATAAAAAAAGCTAATCTCTTGGGAACTGTAATATTTATCACTTAGACTTTTTTTCTTTTAGTTTTGATTACGAAGATGCAGGCTACCAGACTGCAGAACTTGTGAAAATGGATATTCTACTGAATGGAAATACTGTAGAGGAGCTAGTAACTGTTGTACACAAGTAAGCTTAATAGAAACTGATCATGGAATGCAAAAATACTCACTTTTTATATGTTTTTATTTTTTTAATTTGAGCAGTTGCATTTAGAAAACTATTACATATAATTAAAATAGATTTCACACTACTAGCTTTGCTTTTTCTTCTTTTCCACGCTTTTCTCTAGACTACTAAAAATAGAAAAGAGTCATAATAGTCTAAAAGAATAGTGTCGTAGAAATGTTTCCCCTTACTATGTAGAATTGGGAACAAAAAGTTTTTTTATATTTGAAAAAAAATTATAAAAAGGAAAAACCTGTGTTCAAGAAACAGCAAATTGGTTAAAATAAATTATGCAACACACTTATTGTTATTTTAAGCCATTAAAACTTATGGTTTAATATTTATTGACACAAAAATGTCTATTAAATAAGAGGGTTAGAATATATCATTAAACACTGATCATACAAAAAAAATTTAAAAAAATGACTAGAAAGATAACATGTTTAAAATAAACATTCCAAAATGTTGTAAGTTTTTAGTAGGTAAGGAAAGAGAATCAAGAACAGTTTCTATACTCTAATGTTTTATTTCTAAATTTTCTGTAATCCTATATTATCTTTTTAATTCAGAGAAGTTGTTTGTGATTCAGAGTTAAGAGATGTTTATGATAATTCCATTTGAACCTCCTTGGATCACCTTTACATTGATTATGCAACTAACTAGAAAGATACTTGAAATATTCTCATTTATGATATATAAACAGTTGTATTTTTCTGTCTCAGAGACAAAGCACACTCGATTGGCAAAGCCATGTGCGAACGGCTCAAGGATTGTCTTCCTAGGCAACTGTTTGAGATAGCAATTCAAGCTTCTATTGGAAGTAAAATCATTGCAAGAGAAACGTGAGTTGAAATTCATTTTTGTTCTTGAGTCAGTTTCAGAAATGATAAACCTAAAAAGTTAAAGAATATTGAATATTGTAATTTAACATTGGCCTAAGCTTTATTCTTACTTGAAGAAACAGTATGATAGTGCTCTCCATTTTTCTGATTTAAATAATGACTGTTACTTTGAATTACTTATATAGCACCATTGGATGATATGATTTGCAATTAAGTATGATGTATATGGGTTTGAGGAATTGTTTTAATTTCTACTTATATTAATGAATGACTATATTGAATTTCCTGGGTAAGTAATTTCTTTATGGTTTTATCCTTTTGGGAAGATTATAAATTAATAGAAACTGAAACAGGTTTTGTCTTCCAAATGACAAAATTACAATTTTTTTTTTAACCTGAAGCTTTTAATATCACTTCCCCACTTCCCCAGAGCTAGGGAGGTTATAAATCAAAGAATGCTAATAATGTGTTAGGATTTGCACTCTAGATTAGGGACCTCACATGAATTATAAGAGATATGGAAGATAGGCTTCCTGTAGGACACTAGTGTTTCATGAAATGTAATACATAAATCAGAACACTGACTGGGTGTGATGGCTCACATTCTGTAATCCCATCTACTTGGGAGATTGGGGCAGGAGGATTGCTTTTAAACTATCCTGGGAAACATAGTAAGACCCTGTTTCTTAACGACAACAACAACAACAACAAAAAAAAAAACAGAAAAACAACAATGAAGAACACTGAATAAGCTACTCTGCTTGTAACAGTAAGTGCAGAATATGTCTTGTAGCACTTCCCATTTCCTTTCCTTAATGATGCTAAGACTTCTGGGAAATAGGAAGTACCTCCTCAGTTACGAAAAGTTGGCAATTGATATTAAATTCTACCTTAACCCAAACCTAATGAGGAAATACAACCATCATTTTAATATAGACTTGAGGCTAATTTTAGGCCCATTGTTTGTAATACGTTTTATTTCCTAACACTATTTTGCTTCCATTAGTTATTCTGTTTCATAAATACCAAGACCAGGCAGAATGGAGATGATAACCAGGGAATATCCTGGAAAGTGCAATTTAAGAGTTAGCAAGTGCTAATTCTACCATAAATGTGTTGAGATAGAAAATACCTTAAAAAATAGATTTCTCTGTCTTAAGCAATATGTAAAGATGGAGCTGTTTTCAAAATTAGAGTGATCTAGAAATTTCTCAAACGTTATAGATTAGTTTATAATTACTGGTGTGGATATATTTATCTTCCTAGCCACTCCATCCACATTCAATGTGAGGCAGTAATAAGATAAGAAACATTTTTTTGTTTTTCTCTAGTAGTGGGAACAGTATTTTAAGATTGAGTAAAAAATAACCTTATATAATTCTTGTAATCAAGGTCACATCATGCTTGAATTTGGTCTAATCAAACCTGACTACCACAAGCCTTGACCTTTTTTTCATAATGTGTGTTGATAAACATGTTGAATATATTTGTTCTTTTATGCCAAGTACATGAAAATAAATATAAGAGCATTTGAGGTATCTATATGCTTATGGCAATTTTACATAGGTAATAATACTATCGTTAAAATTTACTAGTAAAGGGGAGACTGTTTTTGGTAAGAAAGTGCTTTTAAACAGTATAATGGAATTATGTGCTTAAATAAAATTTTCTCTTTTACAGTGTGAAAGCCTATAGGAAAAATGTTTTGGCAAAATGTGTATGTATCTAGCTATATTTATTTTACTTTATAACTTTTATGGCTTTTAAATCAAAGAGGGCATAAACTTACTGATTTCCATTGTTGGTTTATATACATCCTTTATCTCCAAGTTTTCTTTTTGAATGGGGAAATTTCAGCTTGACCATGGCAACTTGTTCATTTTGACCATATACTTAAATATTTTTTCATCTTATTTATAAAATAAAAATTTGTAAAAAGTTTATTTTATGAAAATTGTTCTTATATGTAATACTAAGAAAGATTTTTATAAGTTATTTCGGTGATCCGGGTTATATGTTTTCTTGATCTAACATATAATGAAAGATTTTGAAAACTGCACTTTATCTTACAGTTGAAATCTACTTCTGACACTGCTTTGCCAGTTTGCTATCATTCAGCTGTTAAAAAATTATTCTTGCCTGGGCTTGGTGGCTCACACCTTTAATCCCAGCACTTTGGGAGGCCAAGATGGGCAGATCACTTGAGGCCAGGAGTTTGAGACCCGCCTGGCCAAAAAGGCGAAACCTCATCTCTACTAAAAATACAAAAATTAGCCAGGAATGATGGTGCATGCTTGTGATCTCAGTTACTCATCAGGAGGCTGCAGCATGAGAGGTTGCAGTGAGCAGAGATCACGCCATTGTATTCCAATTTGGGCGAAAGAGAGAAGTTCTGTCTCAAAAAAAGGGAAGAAAAGAAAATAAATTCTTAAATATTGTTGAGAATTGAATTATCAGTTCTTTCTCCAAATGCTCACTATACGTTTTGGCACATTTACTCCTATGTGATTAAGAGTTTTCTATATTAGACTGTGGGTTTATAGTCAAAATTCCAAGCCTAGAATCAGTGATGAGATTGGTAATTCTTGACATGCATATTGTAATACTAGGTTTCCTTGAGGATCTTCACCTCCATCCAGAATAAAGCCTTTATCATTCTTGAGAAGACAGTAAAATAAGGACCTGCTAGGAAGATTAGAGATGTCTGCCTTACAGATAATTTGGTGTGGTTGTTAAGATTGTACTGATGTCTCTGTAATCATGATTATATATTTTTTAGAATGACTTAGACTTCCGACTTTTTAAAATATCTTTCAGTATGGTGGTGATATTACCCGAAAAATGAAACTTTTGAAGAGACAAGCAGAAGGGAAAAAAAAGCTGAGGAAAATTGGCAACATTGAAGTTCCAAAAGATACTTTTATAAAAGTTCTGAAAACACAGTCTTCTAAATAATTGGTGGGGAAACAAAGAATTTTAATACATTAAAAACTATCTTTTTCTCATTGCAATTTGTAATATGCTGACAACAGAATGAAAATTACACAATTTGCTTGTTACATTCCGGGTTTTCAGGTTTAAATAACCTACTAGCCTTTTTTTGAAAGGGAATAATGAGTGGATAGGTAAGAGTTTATATTTTGAAGCAATGTTGTCTGTTCTCTAATACCTGTTTCAACCATTCACTAGTAAGGTGACCTTGGCCAAATTAACCTTTGTTTCCTCTTCGGTAAAATTGAGATTATACTACTACCTACATAGGTTGTTGTTGTGAAGATTAAATGAGGTAATACATTAAATACTCAGAAGTGCATGACATAGTAAGCACTCAATCATAACTACAGTTAAGTCCTTAATGTCATCAAAAGGTTCTCAGAAGCTGACTTTAAGCAAAATGACATGTAGAAGAAAGTCCTTGAATAATGTCATTTCCTTCTAAGTGGTTTATAACATTGATGAGAAAAAAACCCTTGGTTTCTTAATGCATCATTTCATTTAAAGTCACAATTTCCATGAATCTCAATAAGTGAGGACTTGCTATATTTTGTTTTCATGGAGTTTGCCCTTACTGACACTAAAAGGCCCCATACTTAAGATTCCATCTACTTTAAGTTAAAGGATTTAAAAAAATCAACTTAAGTTTCACATGTGTTAGCAGGATTAATTTATCTGATATCATTTATTAAGCAGTAAACTTAAATAAATACTATCTAGACATCTACTCTAGTTCGTGATAAAATGTTTATAGATTTTATTAGTTTGAAACTAATGGTTTATATACATCTAAGTTAAGGACGGGAGCTTTCTTTCAGACATTCAGAACACATTTGTATAAAATGACCAGATGTCTGGTATTACCAAGAACTCTTAATGAATTTAATAATTGTCTGAATTTCCTAATTAGAGACTTAACTTTAAAGTAACTTGAGATTTCACAGCCAGTAAATATTTCTTCAAAGCTTTCAGCTCCCATGTTTATTCAGCCAATGAAGAAACCAGACTGCAGGCTATATTACAGCAAGATAGCATTATTTAGCCATTGATCTTTATATTTTACCTTGAATGAATTGAATGAAGAAAATGTATTTTAGGGATAAATACTATCAAGGATGAATTTTATACTAAGGTTATGTGAATGAAAAATAAATGTTAAAAATCACTAAGCCAAAGGGAAGTCAAGGTAGGAACTTACTGAGGCAAACCTGCCTCCCACTTATTCCTAGATAAGACAGCCCACAAGGATAAAATTTGCCCACAAGGAAATTCCTTGTGGACAGAGGACAGACAGAACTCAAAGCCATCCTTCTGCTCACGTGAAACAAATGCATGAATGATTGCTTCCTCGGCCCGGGGTTTCAGTAAACCATATTAAAATATAACGGACTATACCTCTACCTTCCTCTCACATGTAAATTGTATATTCAGAGAAAGGCTAATCAGAAAGTCAAGAGAATGCAACCGTTTTTCTCTTACCTGCTTATGGTTAAAGCTCCCTCCCTTCTTCGAGTTGTCCCACCTTTTAGGACGAATGTACACCTTACACATACTGATTGATGTCTCATGTCTCACTAAAATGTGTAAAACCAAGCTGTGCCCCAACCAACTTGGGCACATGTGGTGAGGACCTCCTGAGGCTGTGTCATAGGCACATCCTTAACCCTGGGAAAATAAACTTTCTAAACTGACTTGAGACCTATCTCAGATATTTTGAGCTCACAGTATTAAAGTGGGGATTAACTTAAAATTATGTGTAGAAGTAGCCTGTGACATAGTCCTAGATACATAAATTATCATCTAATGTATCTTCCCTCCCCCTTCCAGCATCTGATAAAACACAGATGAAATCTGAAAAACCTTGACAGTAGTATTTTTAAAATGACGTTATTTGAAACTAAAAAATAATTTGTAAAACCAACTGTTGTGTTCTATCACTGCCAAGGGAAAGTTACAAATTAGAACATAATATGTACTATGTGCTTGCTATTTAATAATTTATCAATATTAGCCTTTTAAATTCAGATTTTGTTTTCTTAACCTATGATTCTTTATGAAACAGTTTCAGTTATAATAGCACAAAAAAAGCATGTTACATAAGCTTAATTTCTTTCCCCTTCCCACTTTCCCACTCAGATGACTTAGTGATCTGGAGTTGTGTGCTAAGTGTACTCCTCAGATGACCTAATATTACTAAGATTTTAGCAAACATTAAAATATGTTTAAACACTTACCAATATTAAAATAAGCACTGTTTATTGAATTTAATACGTGACAACCACCGTGCTGAGCTCTGTATGCTTCCCTCATTCAGTGTATGTACAGATTTGGGGGAAGAAGCTGAGACTTTATTTCCCAAAGTCACAGTTCTTGACAGAGCTGGGATTCAGTGTTTTCTTTCTTCAAAAAGCTAAGTTCCTTGCCTGACAGCAGCTTAGCTCCTGAGTTAGGGAATGAAAGTGGCCAGTTTTCCACTCCTCAGCTTGTGGAGGAGCTTGAGTACAAGAACATCAACTAAGCCCCTAACATCAAGGGCAGGAAAATGGAAAGGAGAATTTTTAGACTTTTAAAGCACAGAAATAACTGGTGAATCACATACCACAGCAGGTACCTTTAATTTTTTTACCGTGATGTTGTATGACTTCCTAAGGTAGGTAGTCAGCATAGTTTGTAGTAAACAATTTTTATTATTGGAAGTGTAAGTAGAATGCTACTGATTCACTAGTTAAAGAACATTTATAAGGCTATTAAAACATCATCTGGAATTAAAGCAGCATAATTTATCCCACCACAACTTTTAACCATAAAATCCTATTACCATTTTTATTTTATTTTTTATTTGCTATTTTAATATTTTAAGAAACTAAATACATTTTAATCACACAGACAAGCAGATAAGTAAGGCTTCTTCTACCAGGTGGATTTGTGAAATGCAAAATAAGCAAAAGGAAATAAACATTTTGCTCCCCACAGATGCAGAGATGTCTTTTAACCCAAATCTCCTAATGCATGATGGAAACAAACCCAAAATAAATGCAGGGTCATATGTACTATAACTGTTGGGAATTGAATGCATATGTTCTTCAGTTTCACTTCTGGAAATAAAATTTAGGTAACTTATTATACACTTTATCTGAGTTAAAGATAGAAAACAATATACTTTTATGTAAACTGCTATGGCAATCTAAAGTTTACAGTAATTCCTTTTATACATACTTCATATCTTTAGACCTTTTATAAGGAATAAAGCTAATTGTATACTAAGTTTAACAATAATCAGAAAATATTCTTCAAAAGAATTTCCTGAAGTGGGTTGGCAGGTATAAAGCTCATAATTGCCAAGATACTTATATTAGGGACATGAACCCAAGTCAATAAATAAAAATAAGATATTTGTAAAAAAGTGCTATAGAAGAAGGTGCACACAAAACATGCACTTACACATACTTTCCAAAAGGATGTAAACTGTACTTTTAGGCACTGTCATCTCTTCAAATTTCCTTTACCAATGATATAGCACAATTTTTGATGTCTAGATGGTGCTGTAGGAAGATGACTAAGGCAACCACGTGCAGAAGAGCATGTGTGTAACGCACAGAAAATATAAAGATCACATTCCAAAAGTGAAGATCTGTAATGAGTTTGCCATCTGAAATGTCTGGAGTGTGTTCCTGTCATTAAAAAATGAAAATATATGCCACCACTGGAGTCATATCACGAAATGGTACCTGATGTGTACATTCTACCTTTAAGATTACTTTTTAAACAGGCAAGACATCTATGCTGTTTTATAGGTGGCTATGTGACTTCAGTACTTTATAATAAATAGCCAGTCAATCTTGAGAGCCAGCTACTTCTCTTAAATTCTAGTATAAGATATAAATATTCAAAATATGGAATGTTTAACATAGATATTCGAATGAAAAAATGACAGTCTTCAAAATTTCCCAAGTTTTGCCATATTGCATAGCTGAAAATTCATCTACTACTTAGAAAAAAGTGCTCTGTTCATTCAAGCAGAATTTTGCTCCAATCTCCTTCAGTTTCCTTCTTTCATACTGTATAGTGGATCCACAAGTTTATTGTGCACATGCATTAGACCTTAAAGAAAAAAAGCACAGTTCCAGTTGTTTTTGTTAATTTTGAACTATCCCATTTACTTTAGACAACAAAATATTTTTATAAGATACAGTAAGTCTGTTTGGTTCTCATCTTGATATAAAATAGTCAAGTTTATTGAAAAAGTACAAATAGAAATGTTTCAGAATGTCTAGTTTTATCTACCTAGCAAATACCAATTTATAATTAGGTAACAGTGCAGATCTAGAATGTGTACAGGTACTGTGGGAGTAACCAGAAGAGCTGTTCTGGTCTTCAAAGAGAATCAGTATGACAAATTTAAATACTAACTTAGATAATATATTTTAATTACATCTAAAAGTCTATATTGATATTGATCCTCTGGCAGTTCCTCTATTAGATTGTAGTGAGGAGCTCAGAACTGCTGTCTTACTCTTAATACATGACCCTATCCATTCATCTGGCAAATTATTTTCAACTAGTTCGGCATGTGTATTTACCACAAAGGTTGACTACAAATTCTACATTGAGGGAGGGTTACTAAAACAATACGGAAAACAACCTGTACTAAATCATTTACTTCAGAATAGAAATTTAGATTTTAAATCAGGTAGATTGTAACTTTCATTTTATAATTGGTACATATGCTTGCAGACTGTTATTACCTATGAAAGCTTCTTGGGAAATAGCTGATCTTCCAGTTGCTTCTGTCTTAATGCCTCAGAACTGTAGTTCTTTGGGGAGAAAAAAAGTTCTAAAAAGACTGTCTTTAACTCAATTAATAAACTAGAAATTTTATATTCTGGAGGGTAAAGAAATGAATTAAATTTTCCAGGTAATTAAGAACATGGGAGGCTGGGGAAAGATACTTACAACTCAGTTTTTGCAGGAAATGGGATTATTGGATTGGAGAGATAGGGTGCTTGTTAGTACATAGATGCTCCTTGTCAGAAAGGCTGCAAAAAGCACTCTAAAATCCCAGCTTTGAGAAAGACCCACTTTTAAGGGACAAGCAAGAAACACTGGCAAGCGTTTGTGTAGTAGCAGAAATTCTAACCATAAGAACAGGAGTCTTCAAAGGAAGGAAGGGGGAAGCATTCCATTCACTAGTGCTGCAACTGAAAGTAAGAGAATGCTTACTTCTCAACAGTCTACTTGAAGGTCATATTAGCACCTGAAACTTAACATCCAGTAGGAGAGGGAAAAACAAAGATAAGGATATATCAACTGTATGATTTAGAAGAGGTAACATTTTCCAGAGTATCACTTTGTGGAGGATCATTTTTCTGCTTAAATAGTATTCATCTGTCATTTGCTAACAACTATGATTATGGAAAGAATACACAGAACTTTAAAGTACATGAAACTTAACATATAAGGAAAAACATTAAAAATTCAACTCCTTTATAAAGTTTGTTTTTCTATATATTGGATATATCTTTTATACATCAAACAGGACTGCTTCCAAACTAGAAGTATTTTGAAAACTCTATTAACTGCTTTTTAGATATTAAGTCAAATATTTACTGTAACCGCAGGTAAAAACTGACAACTTTCTACATATAAATTTTATATAAATAATTGCTAGTTAAGTCAATGTGAAATAATTATTCTGATAAAAATGCACCAGACTTCCTGACACCTTACCAGAAGAAAGGTTAACTGTCACAGATTCTAACCAATGTCTAATCAAAGTAACTTTTATGATTTTGACTCAAAATGAACTCATTCTACCTTTGTCAAACTACTAGAGTGTAGCCTACATACAAAGAGAAACAAATTCATGATGACAATGTCATGAAAATATACTAAAATCAAAGACATAAAGCTGTTCTATTTAAAAAGCAAAAGTGAAAAGCAAGAATGAATAAAACAAATCCCCAGGTACTAAACTCATTTTCTTGTGATTTGTATCTTTCAAAAGGTACATAGTGAAATATACTTGCATTTACTGACAATTTTTGTTGTTTTGGATCTAGTCAACTTTGATCTTATCTAGGCATTAAATGGAACCCTTTAAGATTCTGGCTGGCACTTTTTAGTGATGACAGAAGACAGGGTAGTGATGTGAATGGAATTTGAAGAGTCATGGATGACAATTACAGGAATTTACATCCTCCAGTATTTTGATATACTAGTAACTCAATGGAGGGATGAAAAATATACAAACTACATTTGAAATGTGTACATTTACGAATATTTATTTGCTCTACCCTTTACTAAAATACTATAAAATTAGGTCCCTATGTAGCCCAGAATATCTAAATTCTGTCTTTATATTGAAGGAGGTATCCTAACAGAGGCTGGTATCCTGAAGCCTCTTGAGAAATACAGCTCCAAAGTGGAAAATACTATTTCCTCTTTAGGCAATGCAGCTACCCTCTTATGAATGGTCTATTTCAAAAATTTTCAGAAAGGCTTACAATTTAAATAGATGAACTGAAAGAACTAAATACATATAAACAACTACCACCCTTCCAAGTTAAATTCTCTAACGTATGTCTATATACCTTTTTTGGAAGCATTATGATTTGGGGAAAACAAAGCAGATGGAAATATGGTTTTGATGTAGATGTTACCTTACCTAGACTTTATTGTGGAAGGTAGTATAACAGAATAGACTAAAGCCTGTACTCCAGAGATAGTTGATTTTGATTTCTATTACCCAGCTCTGCCCAAATATGAGCTGTATAACTTTGGGTAAGTAGCTCAACGTCTCTCTGTCTGTTAAGCCTATTAATTCATTTAAAAATGAGAGTATGAGTATCCATTTCATAACATTTTTTGTAAGAATTAAGTAAATCAATTAAGTAAAATGCATTTAGAAAGGTGCCTGGTCATAGAGATATGGAGTGTTACTAAGTATTTTGTTAAATATTCACCAAAATGTAAAAGTCTGATAACCAAATTGTGACAAAATCAGATAGTACAGGGATTTATCTGGGACTTACTAGGACTAGAAAATGGCATCTTAAATGAATTTTCTTAAAACTGGAATTAAAATTTGTGGATAGTTAGGATTCTGGGATGAAATCTGAAGGATTACATGGAAAAATACAGTTAAAACTCCGTCAAAAGCTCGTTTTATTCACAAGTCTTTGTTTTTACGTATCAAATCAGAAAGAAGCTAACAGTTTTTCAGTTTAATCTATTTGTGGCTTTGTAAACTAGTAATTTAAATGATAAAAATATAAATGACTGGGAATAATCTTTAAACAATAAGGGAAAAATGACTGGAAATAATCTTTAAACAATAAAGGAATGTTTAAATAAATTATGACATGTACTTGACTATCCATTAAAATGCTTTCAAATATTTAATAAAACTGGAAGATGTGCATGAAATATAAGCACAAATATAAAACTATATATAAAGCATGATTAGCATTTTGTTTTAAAAATAGACTATTTTCAGTGCTTGCCAAATGTCAGTTATTTATGTTACACCTTTAAGATATCTGCCACATTCACACATTTACATGAAATATGAGTTACTGGTTTTCTTTGCATTGACTTAAAAATTTAAGATAATATACTATATTTCTGAATATGAGATGCTGTAGACTGTAAGACACACCACTATTTTATGTACCAATGAGAAAAAAATGCTACCAATTAAGCTATGGTCTGAAACCAATTTTAAGACACAGTCCAAGATCAGCAAGATAATGTCAATGTGTCTTAGAGCCACACTGGTAGCTTTTTTGGACCTTGTCTTAAGCAATAATACCAAAAATTATAGCTTTGATTTATTCATGTATTTTTTTCAAATATGCATTAAAATAAAATCTAGTTACTAGAGTAATAAAGATGAAAAAGGTATAATCATGTAGCAAATGTAGCAAAACATTACATACTTAGTGAATCACTGACCTATCTATATGAACAACTATATAACTTTCAATATCAGTTGTATAAATACAGGTACTTCACGAAAATTACCTGTTTGGACAGTTTGCTTATATATGTGTAGTATGTGGAGCTGACTCTTAAATCAGGGAATGGGTTCTACATTGGGTATAGGCAAAATGTTCCTTGAAAAGCTCTTAAACCATTACATCAGGCATATGTATTTTTTAATACACAGCCTGGTACAGCAAGGTTTCAGATTTACTGAACTAGACTACAGGAAAAAGCAAAAAGGAAAAATCCACATGAAGTCTGGGCAATGAAACTCCTGCTTACTTGCAGAGTTTATTCCATAGTGCTTTAACATTTAGTCATTATAACTTTAATATATAGGAATAAATTGGCTTAAAATTGTAAAGATTAAATTACACAGCAAGAGATCTCTATTATCCATTATTGGGTTCTAAATTTAGAGGAAAGTGTGGGAGAGGGACTGAGGTGGGACTGGTAAACATGAAAAGGAATCCAGAATGAATAAAGATAAATTTTCTTTTGGGTTATTTAATCTTCTGTATTCTATGTGAAAGTATTTTACTAAACCTTGGATTTCAAGAAAATTGTTTACTGAATAGAGATTGAAGAGATTCTATTCATGAAAAAAAAAAAAACAGGTACTATTCTGAAAATACTACAGGTACTACTCTGAAGATACTGTTATCTGAGGTGAGAATTTTCCATTTCTTGAAAGAACTAGTTGTGTGTTGCCACTTTTCAATAGGTCACAGTGTGAGATTCAACTCCACAGTTTTATGAGATTTGATTCCACAATTAAGTTTTAATTGTCATCCATAACAGAATATCTCAGTCGGCTTCTGAAATTCAGTGCTCACCTTTAAAGTATTTCACAGTTTTAACTCTTAATTCTAAAGTAGCATCTTCATCGCATACAAAAATAGTTCGAGGATGCTGCTGGAAAGCGGAAACAGTCCACATGTGATTGACTCCTTCTTCAATTGCTTTGTACAGGGCAAATGCCTTGTGTGCCCCTGTTATGAGGATCATTACCTGAAAAATTATGAACATCAATTGTGAAAACTTGTTCCAAATGAGTAAGAACTCTATTTTTTTTAAAACATGGACTCCAGCAGCAATATTTTTCTAAGAGAAAAAGAAAAATACAGAGCTCCACATCACAGTTCAAAGTATTTATTTCCACTTTTTAAGGTAACAAAAACAGCACAAAATGTTGCTTCTAGTTTAATGAAGCAAAACAATATCTTGTTATGGGGTATTAGTGCAAACACTACAATACTTGTAATTACTAACATAGTAAATGAAGATGTAGAAAATAAACCTGGGAGAATGAAGAAAAAGAAAAGGACTCTCTTGCAAAAGCAGAATTAAAAGTCTTCAAATGATTTATATAGTCTAGAATGAAATATCAAATTGCTATAGTCGAGATAAGCAATTACGTCAGAAAAGCAAAGATTCTAAAACGAGATATTTTAAGAGTTATCAAAAAAAGTCTGAAGAGCATTTTACTGAACATGTGCTATCCAAAGGTGACTCAGAATAAAAACTGGATTTAAAGAAGGATTAGGGATCTACTTAAACATACGAACTGTCTTATAAGCACATGACTGATAATTACCCTTATAAACTACTGAAAATCTAAGCTCTTGGTCCCCAATCCCTAAATGCCAATGAAATAATATAAGGACATGCAAATGTGAATGTATATGTGCCAGAATCTTCTTTATCTTCTTTCAGCTGTAAATTGATCCCACTTAACACTCATCTACACACACGTTTTTGTAATGTAATCTTTAAACATGATTTTTTCCCTCATTACTATTGTTTTTAAAAAGAACCTTAAAATGGCTGTAGTTCTAAAAGAGAAAAAGAAAAACAAACTAGGCCTAAAATGTTTTAAAACAAACTAGGCTTAAAATGGGAGGAAATACTCCGCACTCTCCTTGAATTACATCATCCAACTCCTCAAAACAACACCATGAGTGAAATACTATTATTACTCATATTTTAAAGATAGGAAACTAAGGCATATTCTATAACTTGCCCAGGGTTTTGGTAAGATACAAACAAATAGTTTTATTCTACAGCCATATTATTAGCAGTTAACTACTACATTACATTGCCTCTTGTAAAAGTTCTAACAATTAGACAATATGTGCCAAGAGTCTTTTCACTATTGAAGCACACTCTATAAAAAGGTAATGGGACAGGTGGCAAGAAATCTCAAGATCAAGTGTATATACTGAGAAAAAAAACAAAAGACCACCAAACTTTTATTGACAAGAAAAGATTAAGTACATACCTAGCATTAACATTATGAAGGGAGTGGAAGGAAAGGAGGCTGCTGGAAGCTTAGGGGAGGATGAAGGATTCATTATTGGTGTTTGTTTATGGCTACGGCATAGATACAACATGCTCTCTAAATAGAGTTATATGTGTAGTTCTATTATACCTGTTCTATTCTCAAGGAGATTATATCTCATATGGAAAAGACAAACTATTATCAAATAATTTCATACGCTTGTTCAAACTGCAGAATCCCTAAATTTAAAGAATCAAGCTAGGTGTGGATACCAGGTGATTCTTATGTACACTAATGTTTGAGAACCAGTGCTCAGCTCAGGCAGATTTTGCATTGATACAACTTTATGCTACTTAAATAAGTGTAGAGCAATAACACTATTTTAAAAGGTTACAAAGTAAGCTAATTTTAAAGAATAATCAACATTTAATCATTCCATAAACTGATATAAATGATTTATAAAAATCTATAACCTTATATTAAATCCTCCACATGCCTTCTTGGTTAGCATTTTAAAATCAAATGTGATTTTTAATAAATGAGGAAATTAGCCTGAGTAACATAGTGAGACTTTCCAAAAAAAAGGAAAAATCAGCCAGGCATGGTGGTGTGCACCTGAAGTCCCAGCTACTTAAGAGGCTTGGGTGGGAAGATCTCTTGAACCTAGAAGATTGAGGTTGCAGTGAGCTGTGATCATACTACTGCACTCCTGTCTGGACAAAAACTGACCCAAAGAAAAAAATTCAATATTTGAGTAATTAAATTGCATTAAATTTACATCTTGTTAAATGTAAAAAATTACTACATAACTCAGTTTCATATTTTAGAAATAAGATTTCTCTGAATTTTTTTTCATATTGACTATGAAATTTCAGTCTTTGAAAGGTCTTTTTCCACATATCTATGATTTTTTAGATGAGTTTCTCATATATTTTGATTGACAGTTCTATTTGTATATTCAAGTCTAAATATAAATATCAAGATCAGTTTCTTATGCATCATACTTTGTCTATACTTTTTTCCTCTGAACCTGTCCAATCTGGCTACCAGAAAGGAACAGAGTTTTGGGTTTCTATATAATCTAACTACATATAACCATGAACTGGCTACAATTTGTTCTGTATTCTCAAGGAAGAAATTGACAGCCCAATTTATAAAAACTTAAAAATTATGCAGAATCTACTGTTCAGAGCTCTTTTATGCTTAAATACACCAAACATAGAACAGATGCAGCCTTAGCTGAGATGCTTTTCTGCTGGAAACCAATAGGACTCTATCATCCTGCATACAGTAGAGAAGCATTTAAATTATCGTGAGAGCTCCAAAAAAGGTGTAGTGTAACTAGCATTGCATCTTTGTCCCAACAGTCCTTTCATGAGGCACTTTCAATAAAAAACAAACCGTATGTCAGTAAGATTTTCAGACCTCAAACCCAAACAGGAATAGGCAAGTGAAGTAGTACCTCAAAGTGGTGGTGCTAAATGCTTAGTTTACAGCTCCAAAAGACTTGATTGATCCCTAAACCTGTCAATGAGACTGACAAAAGTTAGTTACTGAACACTAGAAAAGAACTTATACTACAAATAGAACGTAATCAAAATTGTCACTTATTCAGCATTGTAATCCTTCCAAAATATTAATATATTGACATCAAAGGAAAAACAGCAAAGAACATTTAATGCTTACTTCTCTAGCATCCATCACTGTCCCCACACCAACAGTGAGAGCCATAGTTGGCACTTTTGATAAATCTCCGTCAAAATATTTGGCATTTGCCAAGATGGTATCCATTGCTAGAGTCTTTAATCTTGTCCTTGACACTAAACTGGATCCCGGCTCATTGAAAGCAATATGACCATCTGGACCAATTCCTTTGAAAAGAAATATATATATATATACATATACACGTGAAGTACACAGGTTTCACAAAGTTCAATGTGCATTAAGGAACCCCAAAAAAATCACTTACCTTGTTTTATTTTATACTTGAATTCCTATTACTGCATTAAAATATTTCTGTATTGATTCAACAAATGTTTCCATGTTTTCTACATGCTTAGCAATGAGCTGGCATGATTCTAATAGTAAAA